CTTCAATTATTGTTTCAAATCCATATTGATTAAGTTTGTGAACCGGTTGTCTTGAAAAGTCTCTGAACATTTGGAGAAAAAAACATTAAAAGTTTGGATCCTATCAATTTAAGAACTCATAAAACCTCCAAAATTACTATACTTATTTATCGTTATGTCACTTTCCAATTGGAAATTTTGCACAATTAGACAAGAAAGAAAATCAAAAATCAAAAGATTGTACAATTCAAAAATATTTTATTTAGAAAGAAAATTATTCCACAAAATGATAGGTAAAGGTACATCAATGGCTTTGATCCTCCTGAGGTCAATCGGGTGATCCTGGATTTTGCGTTAGAGGTGGAGGGAGACACGGTCACTCCTTAACGGTCCTCTTGCTTTTTCGGCTTGGATCTGCTCATTACATGGGAGCACAGTTGTTCTGGACCCAACTTCCATACAAACAGTTGGTCCCCCAACAATAAAAATTAGAAAAATACCAAAGTTCAAAATCAAAAAATAGTAATAATTGAAGTGATGATCACATCTGAAAATTCATTTTGAGAAAAACTTGGTATGAGAATACGAAAAAACCGAAAAAGTGAAAAAAGTTGGAATTCTTTATTAATGTTTTGTTGAAATTAGATTCATTAAGCGGACAGTAAACTTGGTAGAGCGAAAAAAAAGAAGATAAAATTAATAAAATACATTTTCTAAGAAAATGAAACTAATAAGCAATAAATGCACGTTAAGATGTTTTTGATAGTAACTTTTTTAAGATGAGTCGTCTAAAGTTTACACTTCTACATTTTATTCTATGACTTGGACATGGACACCATGACTTGCGTATTGAAAACGTTTCTTGGTCCAAAAATAATATCATTATTGAACCAAAATGCACGGTCATTGACAATCTACCTCTTAAGACAAAGATATTTTTTGACAGTTGTTGAATGGTTTTGTGCAGAATAATTAAGTGTTCAGAATGATTAAGAGGCTCTCATGATATAGTGTAAAATGAAATATATTTGTTTGGTAATTATTTACAATGAAATTAGGTCGTTGAATGGTTAAGGGGGCTCAGGATACAAAATTATTTAGGGGATTTTATAACCATTAAAAGACAGACTATTTTTTTGTCAAACAAGATTAACGTACTTAACGATTCAGAGGCTGTCAATTAATTGAACAATTAAGAGGTAAACAAACAACCCCAAAGTGGCAAATAGTGATGACCAAAAATGGGTCATGGGTCAGGTCTGGTCTAATTCGATATTGCTCTCGAGTGGTTGAAGGGCGAGCCAATCCTAGCTAGTCTCAATGAAAAATGCTAGGACTGATTTTAGACCCGGCAACGGGTCCCAAATCTGGTACCGCCCCGCGTTAGTTATTTTTTAGGAATTATTATTATTGAAGTATTTTTACACACAAACATTATACAAATTATAATTATGATTTTTGAAATTGAAGGAATCTTAAGAATGGAGATTAAGAGCATATTCAACATATTTTGTAAAATTATGAGGGTACTCACGCAATGTAGCGAAATACATTTAATTTTAATGTTTCATTTTATTCTGTTTATGTAGATATAATACGGTTTTGAGAAAACGACAATGTTTTTTGTTTGAATAAAATATAAATTTGAAGATCTCATAAAAATTTGAAAAAAAAAAATATATCGATATTAGTATCAGATTAACTATTTAAAAGTCTCGGGTTTTTTGTGTAACTTTTTAAATTAATTTTTTGATTATAGTTTAATTTAGGTTTAATAACAAAGTAATTTATTATTAATTTAATAA